AGCCTAGGAGTGGAGAATTTTGGAAAATCTCTAGCCCACAGGCGACGCTGCGGGGCAGGCCCTCCAGGGAGATGGGGTTCGCCGGCTCCGGCTTGGAGGCGAAGGGGAAAAAACAGCAATCAACATTCGCACTGGAAGGCAGGTCTCAGATTTTAGCAGCCGCCTTGGCCCCTTCTCGATGTAAGCTTTCTGCTTCTTGGAGAGTTAAGGTGTGTTTTGTGTTCTTTGCTTTTCACGTGTCAGAGTTGAAAGTTCATCTAATGGTGTGAAATATTTATCATGTTTCTTTCCAGTTACATAACTGCCGCCTGTGGAGTTTTCCACATGTTAAAACTCTACAGCTGCCCTTTGTCAGGTTTATTTTTGGTCTACAGTGCTTTTAAAAGGGAAACCATTATGAATGCTCTGTTGCGCTCTTTAAAATTGACCCGCACTTATATTGCACACAGTACAAGGGCTAAACAGGCAATTTTTAGATTTTCTCCCAGGGACCAAAAATGTCTAGTGCGTTCAACAGTATTGACAGGTCTGGAAAAAGGCCATTTCCAAGAGACGAAATTGTTACATATGTTTTTTTTTTAACGTAGAATAATGGATAAAGTTCTGTATAGAAGACAGTTGATTTAGTGGTGTGCACACAAAGAATTTAGCTAGCTCTGTGGACAAAGGCAGCCAGAGTTCAGATACTCGGGGCTGTGAGGAATGAGGCATCCCTGCTGTTTCCTTGGTGACAGTGATGGAAGCTTCGTACCCATGGCGGGAGAGGGGCAGAGGACCTAGAAAGGAAAGTCAAACAGCAAAAATGTTAGAGCTATACTCTCATCAAGCAAGGAGAAGGGACACAGATTTAACAACAGGCTTCTGCTAGTTTTTCTGGGCAGAAACAAGAAAGATTTAATGCTTTACAAGAAAAGTTTTGGCATCCTTTTTTCTCAGTCTTGCCACAACGATCTGTCTCTGTTGTTCCTCCCTAAAGATCCACATAAAAAAGGAATACTTTTTTTTAATTCTGTGACGTCTTACGTGAATAATTGATTCACTCAGTTATCTGTCACCCAGTGAAAGCATTTGTCAAAGAGCTACAATGTAGAGGATGCTGGCGGACAATGATGAACAAGACGGAGTTGTTGCTGCTAATGAGCTCACAGTCTTGAGGAAAGAGGGACAGTCTCATCTGGAAAGACCTCTAATACTATGTGTTCAGTGCTACGGGAGGACAGAAAATAAAAACAGTTTTTATTGAGTGCTCTCTCAGAGGTGGAGTCTAAATAGTGCAATATCTAATCCCCCAACAACTCTGTAAGGGAGCAAATGTTTTCATTCCCACTTTACAGATGAGAAAACCAGGCTGAGAAATGTTAAATAGCTTGTTCAAGGTCGAGGATAAGGGGATGCTCCTAGATTGGGGATGCCTGCAGGACGTATAACCTAGACACGTCCTCCAATATACTCTTTATTAGGCATGAAAAGTTGAGGCAAAATTTGACAGGAAGGAAGTAAAGGATGGGCATTCTAGGCAGAGCAAAGAGCAGGATCAAAAGCTGAGAGATCTCAAAATTACAGCGTGTTTAAGAAAAGCAGTTTTCTACAGTGCTAGAGTACATGTGGAATTGGGGCGGGGGTGTGGCAGAAACTGAAAAGATGGTTGGATTATGAAGGTCATTCAGCGTTACAGTATGATGACGCTAGACCTTATCCTGTAGGTAAAGAGCTTTTTGAAAGCACTAGGGTAGGTATAAAAAAAATCAATATTTTAGACCTGTGCCATCAAATACGGTAACCTCTAGATCCATGTGGCTGTATAAATTTGAATTCAATTAAATTTAAAATTCAGTTCTTCAGTCACCCTGCCACATTTGAAGTTCCCAATAGCCACACAGGGATAGGATAGTGGCTACCCTCCTGGACAATGAAGATATAGAACATTTCCATCATTGCAGAAAGTTCTGTAAGACATTGGTGCTTCAGAATGATGATATGTATGGAAATGGAGAGCATGGATTAGAGATAAGGGAATCAGAATGTTAGACAAGTCTGAAAATGATTGCAGTGTTGCAAGAACAAGATGAAGCATGAAGTACGTGGTCACAGTGTGGTGGATGAAGACACAGGTAGATCAAATGATGTTTCACAAACCTGGCCAGCAGGACTCTGTCATCAATTAGATATGGGGGAAGAAAGAGAAGTAGTAACTGAGATTTCTAGCCTGAGTGGCCATTTGTGCTGGTTATAAATAGCATCACTACCTGGAGAAGAATCATAGGGAGCATACATTGTTCCAGCAGGTTTGGGATGAGTGGACAAAGGGCTGTCTAGATGAGGTGACCGGCAAACTATTAGAAAGTTTGGGCTAGAGATCAGGAACCCTTGCAACTGACTAAAGAAATACATGTAAATATCATCAGTATCTCCTAAAACAGTGATTGCTAAGAATGCATCTGAGAATCCCCTAGAAATCCTTAAATGTGATTCTCTGCTTAAAATTATGTTAAAAATTCTGAGTTCCAGAAATTTCTATCTCAGGGGCACCTGGGAAGCTGCACAGTCTCTTCCTTAGTGTCTGAGGGGGATTGGTTTCAGGACTCCCCAGGGATACCAAAATCTGAGGATGCTCAAGACCCTTATTTAAAATGCCCTTAGTATTTGTATGTAGGCTATGCACATCCTCCCATATACTTTATTTTTATTATTATTTTTATTAAAGTATAGTCAGTTTATAAATGTGTCAATTTCTGGTGTACAGCATAATAGTTCAGTCATATATATATATACATACATTCATATATTCATATACATTCATACACATTCATACATTCATATATGAATACGTATATTCATTTTTATATTCTTTTTCATTAAGGTTATTACAAGATATTGAATACAGTTCCCTGTGCTATACAGTATAAACTTGTTGTTTATTTTATATATAGTAGTTGGTATCTGCAAATCTCCCATATACTTTAAATCACCTCTAGATTACTTATAATAGCTAATACCATGTAAATGCTATGTAAAGAGTTGCCAGCATGCAGCAAATTCAAATTTTGCTTTTTTGGAGCTTTCTGGAATTTTCTGAATATTTTGTTCTGTGGTTGGCTGAATCTGAGGAAGCAGAATCTGTGGACCCAGAGGGCTGACTGTATGACTGATAAGCACCCTGGTTGATTCTCATACAACTGTTCAGTAGACTGGTGTATGAGAACCTTTCTAGAAGACTGGAGAAGATAAGAGAGTGAATGAATGAGATCAATCAGAAAAAAAGATGAATGTTCCTCTACAGAAAAATCTAAGGAAATAAAGCCTATAAGAGGTAGGAAGAAGATCTATGTTAAAAAAAAAAAAGAGTGACTCTAGACACAGACCTTATACTGCTCACAAAAATTTACTCAAAATAGATCACAGACCTAAATGTAAAATGTGAAACTACAAGCCTCCTAGAAGATAATGTGGGGAAGGAAAAATATTTTTTCCTCTACCTTTCTAGGCTCTTGGCTGAGATCCCCCCTATAATCAAAAGACAGATTAATGGGAAAAAATAAGCATGTTTAGCAACATGTGTACCTCCTGTATACATGGGAGATATCCAAGGACACTGAATAACTCTCCAAAATAGCCCAAGCCACTACCTTAAATACCATCTCCAGTTGAAGACAAAGATGTTGGAGTCTCCCTCTGCCCCTCAGGCCAGTTATGGGTAAAGCACAGTAAACAAGGGTGAGGTTGCTATGCAGATTTAATTCATGCCTTCACCATTGATAAGTGTTTCCAGAGATTTAGAGTCATCTTTTTCCAAGTACAGAGAGGGAGATAACCACACGAATGGAGATTTCTCTTTAAATACAAATGTCTCCTACAAAAGGGTCATGTCTACTCATTGTCAGAGCTTTTCCTATGTCTGTTGTTTCTTAAAAGTAATCAGTCTAAAATAATTCTTATCCCAAAGAGGCATATTTTGGGGTGACAAATTCTGCTCCCCTCCAATAACATGGGACAAAATCTAGAGGATCTTGGGTTTGTTGATGACCTTTTAGATATAATACCAAAGGTGTGATCCATGAAAGAAAGGATTGATAAACTGGATTTCATTAAAATTTAAAAAAAACTTCTGCTCTTTGGAAGAAATTTCAAGAGAATTAGAAGCCACAGACTGGGAGGAAAATATTTGCAAAAAGCATATCAGGTAAAGCACTGTTACCCAAAATATACAAAGAACTCTTAAAACTCAACAATAAGGAAACTGGTTTTAAAAATTGGTCAAAGACCTTGATGGACACCTCACCAAAGAATATATACAGATAGCAAATATATAAAAATAGTGAATGGAAATCTCAATTAAAACAGTTGGGAGACCAGAATAAGAAATTCTCACACCCTGCAACAATAGCAGAGCCCAGCATGAAGAAGAAAGACTCCTCTTCTTTCTTGGTAAGGACTCAGCTATTAGGAAGCTGTGGGCTCTTTGTTTATTATAGCCCTCCCAACTATCTTTTCCTGCTCTATTAAAGTGTTCTCTTTTCCTTGCAGTGCAGGGACTTGCATGTGGCTCATCATGTTTGCAGACCCCAAATTGCAATTTCCTGCTGATCCCAAATAAACCCATCTTTGCTGGAGAAATAACCAGCAGTTGAAAAGATTACTGCTTATTACAAAAACTGACACCTCAACTTAATGATTTTAGTGCTTTTCTATGTATGGGAAGATACAAGAGTCTGGGCTCATTGAAATTATTCCTTTGATATGCATCTTAACTATCTAGGGCCAATATCCTGCTTTTCTCCATCCTGAATTCCCCTCGGGACACACAGGTGAGGGTGGCTCAATAGCAGATGACTTGATGTCAGGCAACGATTTTGCTTACTGAAATGGCAGGCAACAGTTCTTTGTCTACAGTCCAAACCCACAGAACATACAATACCAAGAGTGAACCCTAATGTAAACTATGGACTCTGGGTCATTATGATGTGTCAGTGTATATTCATTGATTGTAACAAATGTATCACTCTGGTGGAAGATGTTGATAATGGATGTGGATAAAAAATGTTGCCTGCCATATCAGTAAACAAAGGAATGCTGTGTCTATCGAGTCATCAGCCACTGCCTCAGCCTCTGACAGTGAGTGGAGGGAACTTAGGATGGAAATAAACAGGCAGCCTGGCCCTGCTGCCACCCCCAATGGTGCACCCAGAGGGAACTCAGGATGTGAAAGAACAGAATACTGGCCTTAGACAACTAGATGAATATCAAAGGGATGATTTCAGTGAGCCCAGACTTTTGCATCTTGCCATACATAGAAAAGTGCTAAATTCCTTAACTTGAGATACCTGGTTTTCTTTAACAGTAATCTTTTGATGTTCTGACTACCTGGTATTTGTGGCAAAAATCCTATATGTCCTGGCCTCTCCCTTGCCTCTCTGAAGCAGTCTCTTAGAGCTATCTGAGAGGCAGCACCCCGGGTTTGAGTCCTCAGAAAGTCCACTGAATAAAACACAACTCTCAACTCCTAGGATGTGCAATTTTTTAATCCACATGGGGGGATTATGATGTGTTGGGGGCAGGGAGTATATATGGAAAAATCTCTGTATTTTCTGCATAATTTGGTTGTGAACCTAAAAAATAAAGTCTAATAACAAAATTAAAACAAGCAAATAAATAAATGAAATAAAAAAGCAATAAAAAGAAATGTATGAGAGGAAACTGGAGAGAATCAGGATCCAGGGGTGGAGGTTTTTGCCTTCTTGAGTACTAAAAAGACGACTGAGAATTGTCTCCTGCATTAGTAATCATGAAGGCACTGACCACTTGGACAATAGAGAAAGCAAACCTCCGAAAAACTTATAGAAAAAAATTAGAGGCTTGTGTTTTTTACTTAATAAAGTATAAAGCTAGTGCATAAGATAAAAACAAGTACTGAAATGACTGCAAACAGCAGGCGCAGAATGATGAAAGGGGTGGCAGTAATTAATAACGCTCCATCAGGGGGTGGTTGGGCATTGTTTCCGTTATTGTCCTGCCTGTGAGAATCCCTACCCCAGGGCGCCTGGGGCAGCTTGCGGGGAGGAAGGGGGAGGAATTAGCATGGGGGCCCCTCCCACCTCCGTTCTGTTCTCCGTAATCACCTTTCCCCCACCCCTTCCCATGTGTCATAATCACTTTCACTCTGACACTGTAAGCATTTGGTCAGGTAAACATCCAAGGGGATTTGGTGTCTTAGGACATCTTACCATTTTTCCTTCTTTCCACCCCCCTCTAACTCTGAATCCAAAGTACTGTTGGAGAGGTGTTGAGGCACATTTCCTAAAACAAGCAATGCAGGGAAGGGCTGAGTTTAAATTGAGTGACTTCTCACAACATCTCAGATTTGGTATTTCTGTGTTGAGCGGCTTGTTTTTCCTCAGGGGTGTGGAGAAGATGCGGGAAAGTGTGCCCCGCATTCTGCAATTTAGAGAAAAGAGGGGGGGAAAAGCCTTCCATTTCAAGAACTACATACATTTCCAAGTGCTTCTCATATAAATTTCAAGCTCCTATGGATAGAATTTAAGGTCTGGAATGGGACCCTTGTTACTTATCCTCATTGTTATCTCCGTAGATCATTTCCTAGAATACGACTGATTTCAGTATTTCATTATGATATGCCCACGAGCAAACTCATGGGATGTGCTCAAACCACAGCCCTTTCCAGCCAGATAAACCTATTCAGAGAAGCCCACAGGATCTCCAGTGTGTAGCCTGCATGCCTCTCCCAAGGTGACATCTTTCTTCAGGTGTATTGTAACAATACAGTGCTCAAAACTTTCTTCCAGTAAGAAGAACAATAGCAATGCGCTAGCCTCACCTGGTGCTGATCACTGCCAGCAGGAACATTCTTTCACATTCTCTGCTCCTAAACGACTAAGCTGGATCTATCTGCCAGCTAAGCGAAGTTCGTCAGCAATCAGTAAATTAGTTATGAATGCTATCTTTCCTCTTTTTAAAAATATATTTATTATCAACTCAATAGTTGGTTTCCTTATTGAATGATGGTTAGTCATTTCATAGGGAATTAGGCAATAGGAAAATGATTGTAAATGACTTTTAAATGGCACTTTCTTGGGAGAGGAGAGAGCATTTAACAAACATTTGCCAGGAGCAAACAAAAAAATGGACAGGTATCACTTAGTCTGTGAGGATGGAGTCCTAACAACTAAAACTTGGGGAGAAAGATAATGCCCAACTCCATCCCCCCTCCCTCATGTCACAGTTAAGGATGATGAGACCCAAAGTGGTGACATAATTTAGTCACGATCATACAGCAAGATTAGAAAAGAGCCAAGCCTGGAATGAATGCTGGTTATGTCTTTCCTGTGCCTTCCCCCAAAACAGTATAGATCCCTCAGTGCTGGCTGGCATGGCTTTATATTTGCCCTTTGTAACTTGACCCAGGTATGTCCGATTTTCTCCCAAGACCCCTTGCCTAGGACAACTACACTTAATGAATTTCCTTAATTAAAGAGTGGAGGGGGGCGGGAATAACATCTCTCCATTGGGTTGCATATTATCTAATTTAATCCTCGTAGTCATGTAAATGAGACACTCTTTATTATATCCATTTTACAGGTGAAGTCGTTGGGACAGAGAGGTTGAGTGATGGGCCCATGAACACAGCAGCTCGTGCTGGTGGGCGGAGGGGGGTTTGGACCGGCACCTGCCCTAGTCTAGGCTCAGTGCGCTGAGCCGTGATGTGCACCTCTCACTGTCACCTCCACCTCAGCTGGTCAAGGCCTCTTCACCCTTCTGTCTCTGCTAAACTGCAGTTTCCTTAGGAAACGTCCCTGCCCTTCCTGACTAAATCAAATCCTACTGCAAGCTCTCTTTACCCCTTCCTCTCTGGTATCAAAGCGGGGATTTTAAACTCAGTTGGTCACAATCAGTCACCAGTGGGAGACTGCGGACTCCAAGAAGACAGGGTCTGTCTAATTTTCATCTCACTGTTACGGTCTCTTTTCCTAACCAAGCGCTGGTCGGATATTAAATGCTCAATAAATATTTGACTACTGGTGGGATATATGGGTCCAAAAGTCTTCGACAAGAGTCAGATTGTACTGTAATTTTTTCTTTAAGCTAACCACATAGTTCAGGCTGCTGTAACAAAGTACCCGAGACTGGTGGCCTAGAAACAACAGAGGCTTATTTCTCACTGTTCCGGGGGCTGGGAGTCCGAGATCAGGGCGCCAGCACGATCAGGTCCCGGAAAGGACCCTCGTCCGGGTTGCAGTCAAATTCTCATTATATCCTCACATGAGGAAAAAGCGCTCTTTTTACACATCCGCTAATCCCATTCGTGAGGGCTCCACTCTCCTGACCTAATTATCTCCCAAAGTCTCCACCTCCAGATACCATCACACTGGGATTACGGTTTCAATATATGAATTTTGAGCAGACACAAACATTCAGTCCGTAACACATAACAATGTCTTTTGTAAGTCAGCCTTACTTTGAAGCTTCAATATCTCTCTATGCCAATCTCATTGCTAAGGGCTCATTTTTCATTATTATCTCCTTTGATTCTACATATGAAGGCACTGAGGGTCTGAATGAGGTCCAATAAATTGCCCCAGGACACCTAGCTGGTCAATGACAGAACGAGACACGATTCCGGGTCTGTCTGCATCTGAAGCCTTTACTCTACAGCGCTGCTATGTCCCCTCCACTCTTGTAACCAACCGTCTTTCCAAGTCAATCAATCTACTGCCACATCAGTCCTGATGGCACCACTGTATTTGCTGTGGGGTTATAATAACTGTTTAACAGATCCATATTTTATTTCCTTTTAGGTGGTTTTGATCCTTTTTAACATAAAAAATTTTTTAGCATCATAAATTTTTTAACATCATAAAGAAAGCATAACATCATGAAGATGTTTTTAATATCATAAAGATGCACATTCTTATATATTTGTACTTCCATCTGATTATTTCCTTAGGGTGGTTGGTGGTAAAAGTCAGAAGTTTCTGATTCATATGACCAAATTGGCCACAGTAATCTTTGAGTTTCTGGTGGTGGATCCTATTACCTGCCTCTTTGCCAAAAGAGTATGTTTGTGCCACGTTGTGCCAATGAAGTAAAACGACATGAAAATACTCTTTGCATTTTCGTTAATTTGTCTTGGAGTACAGAAAATAAGACAGACTCTCCTGCACCCCTTCTCCTTTGGACCTAGTTCTCAAGCCATTCTTTCAAAGTAGAGAATTTAGTGTGTACTCCAACTTAAGGCAGCTGAATAGGAGGACGTGTAGCAAAAACAGGCTGCTTATGATTTATTTAGTGTTTACTGTGTATCCTGAACACGTTTTTCTCTAATGTATCTGTATAAACCTTCAAAAACAATTTTTTTTCATAATCAACCTCCTAATGCCGATGAAATTCCATACCTAAAATAGCTTTTCTTACCAGCATCTCAACTGCATTTTTCATCTTTAAGATCACTGGGAAGGGGCTGGAGAACATGAATAAACTTGACCTACTTTGCTACAGAAATAATGAGATGGAGAGACGAGAGACAGACTAATGCCTTTTTGCTCCCAGAGATTTAGGAATTTCGCTGTGTTCTTAGATCTGCCCCCTTCACCCCAGGTGGATGGTCTTAGTCTTTCTGGAATGCTCTTTTTGGCCCTGATGAAAAGTAGCTGACTGGAAGAGCAGCAGCAGATGAACACTTAGTTTCACAACTGATAACAGTAAGTGAAAACATTCTGTCCACCACACCAGTCAAGATTTATGTTTCTCTGGAGAAGTCAAGAAAGGGCATATTTTCTCATGCACTAGCCTTGAAAACCCTCTCCCTGTTTCACTGATTCTTGGGGCTTGCCTTGTGCCTTAGCGATGTGAGTGCTCCTTGAAATGGGAACAGTTCTCAAAAATATTTTTTTTCCTGGGAGTGTGATATGACGAAGGGCTGTTGATCCCCTGCTGTGCTAGGAATCCTTGCAGGGACAGAAGTTCAAGTGCCTGTCTGCTGGCTTGGAGCCAGTGAACACAATGGCAGGGAACTTTGGTGGAGAGTTTGGAAAGGCGCCGTGGGGTGGACGCAGTTTAACAAGCAGGATACGGGGTTAGAGCCCATGGCGGAAATGGCCGTGCTTGTCTTTCCTTCCTAGGGTAGGGCCTAGACATCCTGGGGTGCTGAAAGGCAAAAGTGGAGACACAGGGGGAGGGGGATGGCTCAGTGGTAGGGCACGTGCTTAGCATGCTTAAGGGCCTGGGTTCAATCCCTAGTACCTCCACGAAAAAAAAAAGGTGGAGGTACATTGGCCATTCCAGAAACTACATTTCCCCCACCAAAGTCACTTTTAGATATGCCACCAAAAACCTCTGAAACTTTGATTCCTCATATACCGAAAATGGGACTGAGGTATGTGATTTTAAAGGCATTTCCAACTATAAAACTAGATTAATCTTGACGTTTGAGTCTTCAAATTTGGAAACAAAGAAAGTCTTCTAATAGTAAGACCACTGGAAAGTCACCAGTATGACAAGCAACCTCTACTCAACTAGTCGAGATTTTCACTTTCTCCTCCTGTCCCAGCTGTTGAACACACACACACACACACACACACACACACACACACACACACACACACAGTTATACACAGTCTTCCTCTCCCTCTCGTGAACTGTCGAAAGTATATTTAACTTTACCCTAGTAAGTCAAGAATGTTAGAATAGAAAGGGACACAGGGAGACAGAAGAAAGAGAGGCCTTGGTTGTGGCATTTGAGTTGGGGTTTATAAGACCATCTGTTTCTTTCCTTCTCTCTTCTGATCACTTTTGCCTTTTCTGCACTCCTGTCCCTCCTTTCTGCATTCAAAATCTCCAACCTGCTGACTGAGATTCTTAATTAAGAAAAAGCTCCTGGTATTTAGCTGAATCTTTCCACTGCATTTTTCAATGAGAAGAGCTTTGGCTTTGGTCTAACTCGACCACGGTCCTTGTCCATAGTTTAGAATTAAAGAGAATTTTGCTTTCTGAGGTCAGGGCGCCTCTGAAAACACCCACAAATAATGTCTCAGCTGGTTCTTGGACCCATTCTAATAGGTCCAAGTTTTCTGTCTCTTCTGCTGGTAAGGGAAGAAGTGATGGGAATAATAATGACAGCTTTGTGGTACTGGAAGTCTCTCCAGTTTTAACCTCAAAAGTTTAGTCAAGTGTAGCTTGTTTTCATGTAATAAAATGTCATTATTCTAAAAAAATACACACTGAAAAATTAGGGGTGAAATGTCATAATATCTGTAGTTTATGTAAAAATGGCTAATAATGTTACAATAACTATGTATAGGGACAGATGGCTACCAGACTTCCTGTGGTGATCATTTCATAATGTGTGCACATGCCAAATCACTGTATAGTACACCTGAACCTCACATAATATCATACATCGACTATATTCCAATTTAAAAACATAATGAAAGAAAATATTTCATTAAAACATGGAAGAAGCAAAATGTGGCACACTGCTAACCTAGGTAGTGTGTATCTGCATTTGTTATACTCTATTTCCTTTTCTGTATGGCTGAAACGTTTCACACAAATTTCCTACACATTTAAAAATTTCACACACATAAAGAAAAGTGAATAAAAAATTAATCTCACCTTCATAACTAAGAAGCAAAAGCCTTGAATTAATTTGGTGCTCTCTCCCCCTATGCTAACTCGCTGGATTTCCCAAATAGTAACATAGATAAAAATCTCTCTGCTTGGTACTGGCTCCATTTACCCACTGGATCCAAGAGAAGAAATCCCTCTCAAAACAAGTTGAATTTTACAGAGACTTTGACTGCTGGTTGGAAGGCCAGATTCACTGGGGGAGAAAAACAGAAACTTCATCGTTTTATCTTGTTCTCTCCAAGTAATTCTAACAACCCTGCTGTTCTCTGGGGGAGAAGAGCAAAGGAAAGAAAGAGGAGGCAGGGCAGCAAGATGACACTTCACTGGGAGATTCACTTGCTTAGAAGAAAATAAAATTAACCTTTCCCCAAAATACAAAACACACCCAATTCTAAGTTTAAAAAATAATACTGATGACTTTCTCCTTTGATGGAGGTACTAGGGGTTGAACCCTGGACCTTATGCATGCTAGGCAACCACTCTACTCCTGAGCTACACCATCTCCCTAACCCCAAGAATAATATTGATGACTTTTAAGAAACTTGGTGTATTAAATTAGACCTTGAGGGGATGGGGTGGGGGGACTTAAAACCCATTTTTAGGGCCTATGCATATTTCTTCCATTCATATGTTATCTTAATCTTTTCCAGCTGAGTAGAGGATTGTCCTATAAAACAATGTTTCCAGACTCTAACAGGCATCTGAATTAATAGAGCATCGTGTTAAAATGCAGATTCTGATTCAGTAGGTCTGAGGTGAGGCTGAGAGCCTGCATTCCTAACAAGCTTCCAGGATGATGGTGATGCTGCTGACACCTGGACCACACTGAACAGCGAGGCGATATTTGAAGGTAATTGAATAGCTACATCCTGTACCTGAAAATAACGAACTGCAGGAGGAAGGAAGCTCCTGCATTTGATTGAGGAAGATAGTTCACCTTACACTTTCTTACCATGTAAAACCTGAATATTCTTGGCCCTGAGTTCTCAATGGGAGAAGTATTGCCATCAGAGGGAGAAAATTACTTTGTTGGGGGTGAAAAAAGCCTAAACCGAAATACAGTGTATCAATGGTATTAAAAATGTCATGGGAGGAGGGTCATTAGGAAAATGTCTAAAAAAGCTACTTGGGGGAAGTATAAAAAAAGAAAAGTTTGAGAACCATTGCACTAAACTATTAAAAAGTCTCACAAAACTGCCAAAAATAAAAACCAGCCAGCCAACCTATTTAATAAATTAAAACTCAGTCACCAACATTTGGGATATCTGTTATATATCCACCCAGATTCTCAAATTCTCATTGACAAACACCATAGAAATGTTTTATTCAAGTAAGAGGACACTAGGCTGGGTTAATTTTCTTGCTTTTTAAGCACCTGAATATTGTAGATTGCAAAGGAAAGGGATGAGGATAAGATACATAATGATTATCAGAAATAATTTATACCATCAGGAAAATGAACCTAACTGAATAAAAAACAATCAGATTGCAGATAAGGGGAAGGTTTAAAACGGAATTGCAAGCACACTCCCCCTTTTTGATGTTTTAAATGTTCTCTGCCCTCTGCATGCATTTCTTTGTACTTTTATGTGTGATTATTTTTCTAAGAATGGGATAATGCGTCCCTTTAGTTGTTATATAGAAAATTTAAAAATTAAAAAAATGTAGAAAATTTCAAATTTTAAAATTAAAAGATGTGTAATTGCATTTAACTATGGATGTGTGCTAAACTACTTCTGATGCCCAAATGTCTGTGCCACCAGCCCAAGGCCACCAGCAAAGAGGCCGAGAGCCTTCTGCTGGGTTGGGGAGCCCAGTGAAGCACGTGCTGTCATCTCCAGGAGAAACAGAGTGAGAAATCTTCCAAAGCTGGGCCAGAACCAGTCCCAGGAGGGTCAGAGTTTCATATGCTGAGGCACTCCCAGTAACAACAACTTTCTTATTGAGTGTACCCCATCTAGCGCTAAACACCTTCTATGTACTATCTGCTTTACTTGTCCCCAAGTGCCGTAAGATAGTATAATTACTCCAATTTTTCATATGATTAATTGGAAGCATGAGGTGCAAATAAACTTTTTTAACTGAAGTACAGTCAATTACAATGTGTCAATCTCTCTGTACAGCACGATGTCCCAGTCACACATATACATACATACATTTATTTTCATATTTTTTCCGTTAAAGGTTATTATAAGATATTGAGCATAGTTCCCTGTACTATACAAAAGAAATAAATGTTTAATCTATTTTTATATATAGTGGCTAACATTTGTAAATCTCAAACTTCCAAATTTATCCCCTCCCACTTGCTTTCCCCGGTAACCATAATATAATATTGTTTACTAAGTCTGCAAGTCTGTTTTGTAAATGAGTTTGTAGCATCCTAGTTCTTTTTTTTTTTTTAAGATTCCACATATGAGTGACATCATATGGTATTTTCCATTCTCTTTCTGGCTTACTTCACTTAGAATGATGATCTCTAGGTCCATCCATGTTGCTGCAAATGGCATTATTTTATCCTTTTTATGGCAGAGTAGTATTCCATTGTATAAATATACTACAACTTCTTTATCCAGTCATCTGTCGATGGACATTTAGGTTGCTTCCATGTCTTGGCTGTTGTATATAGTGGTGCTATGAACATTGTGCATGAATCTTTTCACATTGGAGTTCCCTTTGGATATATATCCAGAAGTTGGATTGCTGGATCATAAGGTAAGTCTATTTTTAGTTTTCTTGAGGAATCTCCATACTGTTTTCTATAATGACTGCACCAAACTACACTCCCATGCAAATGAACTGTAATACAAGTCAAGGGCTAGGAACTGGAGAGGAGGGGTTTGAACACCAGCACCGTGGTCCCAGAGCACATGCAATCTTCTTTTCTCTTACAGGCAGTGTATGCTGGGTGCATCCAGCTAGTACGGGACACTTTTGGGTGGTCAGGACCCAGCCTGTGTCCTCTCTCCAGGGGATGTTAAGGTTGATGGGAAGAGGCAGGCAGCTGTCATGACCAAGGGACTAGGAATAAGGCATCCTTTCAAAAGGCCAGCCAGATGGGTCAGGAAGTTTTTAAAAACAGCATTATTAAAATACAATTCACACACTATATAATTCACCCACTTAAAGTGTAAATTCTATGTTGTTTAATATACTTACAGGAATGTGCAACTATTGCCACATTTGATTTTTGAATATTTTTGTCCTTTCTAAAGGCAACCTAATACCCATTAGTGGTAACCCTTCACCCAATTTCCCAACCTCCTTTCCTATTATGAACATTCAATATAAATTGAATCATACAATATGTGCTCTTTTGTAATGGCCTTCTTTCACTTGGTCACCATGTATTATCTTTTTACATATTATTGGGTTGAATTTGCTAGTATTTTGTTGGGGTTTTTTTTTGCATCAATATTCATAAAGGATACTGGTCTATATTTTTTTTCTTGTGACATCTTTTTCTGGTTTTGGTGTCAGAGTAATTCTAGCCTCATAAAATGAGTTGGAAAATTTTCCTGCCTCTTTTACCTTTTGGAAGAGTTTGTAAAAAATTAGTATTGATTCTTCTTCAAATGTTTGGCCAACTTAACCAGTAAAACATCTGAACCTGGTCTTTTATTGGTGGGAAGTTTGAAAATTACTAATTTGATTTCTTTACTTGTTATAGGTTTATTTTCTATTTTTTCTGGCATCAGTTTTGGTACTTTGTGTCTTTCTAGGAATTAGTCCATTTCATCTAAGTTATTTAATTTGCTGGCACATAGTTGTTCATAGCTTTCCTTATAACCCATTTTATTACTTTGAGGTTGGCAGTAATGTGCCCTCTTTCATTCTTGATTTTAGTAATATGTGTTTTCTCTCTCTTTTTCTTGGTCAGTCTAGTTAAAGGTTTGTCAATTTTGTTTATTTTTTCAAAGAGCCAATTTTTGGTATTACTGATTTTCTCTGTTGTTTTTATGTTCTCTATTTCATTCATCTCTACTTTATTATTGCCTTTTGTTCTGCTAGGTTTGGGTTTAGCACACTCTTCTCATTCTACTTCCTTAAGGTGTGGCATTGGCTATTGACCTGAAATCTCATTTAATGTAGACCTTTACAGCTCTAAGTTTAGGAAGGAATGTGGACTACTTTTGGCCTGAAGAAGATGTAATAGTTCGATAGAAACCTACCAGTAAGACTGATTTATAATTTTACATGGATGTTTTTGCTTGGCCTCTGATTCTGTGGCAAACACCCAAAATGTGCAAGTTAAATACATAAACTCCAGTGAGCTTTTGTTTTAGTAGTGACAATTATTCAAAGAGTTCATATAATTTTTAATTTTGGCAGATGGTTTATTTGATGACAATTGTGAAACATTCCCAAACCTGTCACATGTAATAATCCCATAGTCTGAGAAATTGTTACTGGCATTTGCAAGCGTGGCAGAAATTTAACAAACTGTCGCCAAACCATTTGCTTGTTTGAATGCCAAGGTTTCCTTCCCCACATCACGTGCAGTGTCCTGCTGCCAACAGTTATCAAAATACTCCCACAGTTGTCACAGAGAGAATTGTCCAGGGAGTTACTATTTCATTATTCTTGTCCCTACATTTCATTGCTTTTGCCCCTTCTACTTGGAGAGTTATTTGAATAACCTGAATAATGTCAATATAGAGCAGTTAGACATTAAATAATGGATTAAAATATAAAAATAATCTGAGACTTAGCTATAGATACATATATATATATATACACACAGCGCAGCAACATTGAGAAGGATGATTTTTCATACTAAACTCCTTACATGTTCCTAATGTCTAGACTTCTACAGAGAGAGTATGCTGTTTGTGTAATGTAAAACAGTAATAAAAAATGTAAAAATAGTTGAGACAGAGTCTGAAGGAAAACCCTATGAAAAGTCTAATTAGATCAACTCATTCTAATCAAAGATATGCAACTATGTGGTGTAAGCCTTTATAATGGGATTTAGAGATAAAGTTCAGTACTTTGAAGCAAAGATTGACTGAAGTTGAAATTATTGGCCCTGAGTTTGCATTTTCCTTGATGACTCTGACAAATAAATGTCGTACTTGAACAGGTTAATGCTTGGCCAGCTTAAAAAAGTTCTTGCATCTGAAACACGAAAGGTGCAAGATTAGAGGGTCTGACCTTGGACTTCAGTTACAAATTCGAAGATGCATGAAAGTGTAGCCTTTTACCACTATGATAATATTTGCAACTATCATCTGGAATAAATATTATCTCTGCTTTGTCTTGTATGTTAATGGCTTTGATGGACACGTTGGAAGCACTTACCTATATTTCAAACGATATACCCTTGAACAAGCAATTCCACTGTGAGGAACCTCTTCTGCAGAAATTTGTATACCAGTGCACAGATTTTAGATACATAGATGCTCACTGCTGCAAAGTATCTCAAATATCCTAAGTGTACATCGAAGAAAGCATAGTTATGTACATTATGGTCCAACTGGCCCAAGGCCACAGGGCTAAGTGGAGATCTGGGATGTAACTCAGGCTTTTTCTCCTCACAATACTGTATTTCATGAGTTGGTCTGCGGGTGACGGTGGCTTTGGGTGATCATGACTGAGCTTGTGTGTTCTTCCCAGGATCTGTGAAGATTGGATGCTGGGGAGCAGTGGGAGGGCACGTAAATGTCACAGCCAAGGCATAAGGGATAAGACAGGGGAAGTCAAGAGTTTAAAATAACAATCAAGAGTGGAAAAAAGGTTGTGTATAATTAAGAGAGAGCGATTCTGGGGGACAGCATTCTGTTTCATCAAAAGGGCATGACCTTAGTTAATTTTCACCTCACCCTCCAGGGACCCGGGCCCCCATTCTAAAAAGCTCTGAGTGTGTAGTGATCTTTCTCACTCTGAAATAGGATGGAGTGGGGGTGGCGCTGAAGGAGGGGCTTACTTCTGGAGAATGTATTTGTCCTTTTTCATCAAAGACAATCCACATTAACATGTGTTTGAGGGATTAGTACATCTTTGAAATCCTAAGCAAATGGGAGAATTCTTTCAGTGTTCACAGCACTGTGAAATGAAGGATTTGGTGTGGCTGCTGTGGGTGGGATGACCCAGAGCATTTTAAAGAACACATGCCAATTTCAGGAGTCCTGGCATTTTTCGCATGCCCTGAGGTTTTCAGTCCTGCCAGATGCCACATTGGCATTCTGTATGACCTTGAGCCAAACACTAGCCTTTCTGTAGCTCATCTTCTCTATTAAACGAGGTAGGGGGGTATGTGGAATAAATGCTCCTTACTATCTCTTCAACTTGTGATTCAATTTGTAGTTTTCACGACTTACTGAATTATTAGTATTTTAAATAAACATTATTTGCATTTTGGGTCAAAAAGAGTGGAAAATAAGAATATCCATTTGGGTTAGCAGACTGAGGCCTCAAGAACTCTCAAAGATATGTAAGAAATCATAAAAGAAATCAGTAACAGCGGTATCCCCTGTGAGGTTTCGGTAAGAACTTGTGAATGGGGCAGAAGCCGGGAGGCAACTTTTCACCATCTATCTTATGATATTCTTTGATTTTCCAAGCAATGTATAATGTATAATGATTTGTATATATGTAAATGTATAATGATTTGAAGATGTAAGATTAAAAAGACATATACATTTGAGAAAAAAGAAAACATAGGGTTTGGAGGTCGCTCCCACATTTAAGTCCCAGGTCATCTTGTGATCTTGGGAGAGTAACGGTGCTATTGGATTCTAGATTTCAGTGTTTAGCTTTTCTTCATTTTTGGGGAGTCCTGGGAATTGAACCCAGGACTTCATGCATGCTGTGCATGCTAAACGTGCACTCTACCACTGACTGAGCTATACCCACCCTCATGCTTTTCTTCCTGAAGAATTCTATACCCTTGTTCACTGGCTCCCTGCAGAAGGCATGCACCTCCTGCTGGATGCCACTGGGCTTGGCCGTGGGACTTGAGGTAGGGGGCTAAGAATCAGGTGGATGTGAGCAGAAGCTCTGAAGAGCCAGTGCACTGAGTCGTCCTGTTCTCTTTCCTCTCTGCCATAGAACCGGAAGTCCTCAGTGGGGGCTGCTGCTCCAGCCTGGATTCTGGAATAACATTGCAGAGCCACAGAGGGCCTGGAGC